GAAGAGTGTCCCACAAGAGTTTCCTACAAGAGTGACCCACAAGAGTGACCCACAAGAGTGTCCTACAAGAGTGTCCCAGAAGAGTGTCCCACAAGAGTGTCCTACAAGAGTGTCGTTTGGACATATGTAGTTTTTCGAACGTGTTTGCATTCGGGTTCGTGGGTTCCATCTTGTTTCCAATCCTAGACTTCCAAGACTCTAAGACCCTTGTTTCAATTGGTTGACCGGGTTGTGCTTAGTAGATACATGTATATACAGTAAATACAATATATGATTTTATGATAGAATGGTTGTTTAGGATTCAGACTATTGAATCAATGGCAGGAAGCCTAGGGGTTTGCGTCGTGAACCACGTACTCCAAGGCACCGTGGAATCGCGTCGGCGAGCCGTTGTCCCACTGGCACGGTGACGTCCGGCAAGAGGCCCGTGACGAAGGGGGAGGAACCACCGGAGCCGACCTTCAGCAGGAAATCCGTCGAAGCCTGCGCTGCTTGCGGTGGTTCTATGTGGTTCTTAAGGATGTGATCAGGGTGGCGAAACCATCTATAGTGGATGGAGAGTAGATGGCACTTTCTTCCTAAGTTCGGTGGGTTGATATGGAACCCACATCAAAAAGATTCAAAAACACATGCGCCATGACGCCATGCAGCATCTGAGACCGCTGATCTATGGCATTCCGGCATACCATGAAGTATCTATGGCCAGGTGGTTGGCACGCAGGGTGGAGGTGGTGTAGGGAAGGATGGGGCTGGTTTTTCAGAGCGAAGGGCTTGTCTGGGGTGAGGTGTTTTTGAATGTGCTCTTTGATATTGTTGGGAAGTTCCTGAATGTTGCACCAAAAAATCAACTGGAATTGGACCTCAGTGTTAAATTCTTGAATTCTCATTCTAGTCACACGGCAGTCGTTTCGACTCTGCCAGAAAAGGGGGAGTCTTCAGTCATGCTCCGCGCTCAAAAAGAAGAACACCAGGAAACCTTCAACCTCGCTCCGGGGTGGTGTCCAATTCCTACATCCAATCGGGAGACCAGTACAAAGGGACCCGTCTCCTGGAGTTGACTGCCAGGACGGACTCGCCGAGTTTCTCAGGGTGGTGGTGCCAGGGGGGTCGGATCGGCAGTCCTATGGCAGTCCCATGGAGTCGTACGGGGTTGGTAGTCTAAGGGCAATGATCCGAGGCCCCGTTTCAAGGATGTTCCTGTTTTCTGCCAGGTGGATGGCATAACTGGTGGAGGGCATCAGCCACGTGAGCCGGCACTCCACTTGACGCAGTTCGTGAGCCAGGGGCCCGACGTATCCCCCAAAATGTCCACCCGGCCAGGCTGTGCCAGGCTGTGCCTGCTCCGTTTTTACCGAAAGCCTGATTCATCAATCTTCATCAACGCCCCCTACCAGCACCTTCCAACAGGTCTCGGAAATGGAGACTTTTGTAGACTTAAAAGTCGCATGGTGACCTGTTGGAAGGTCCTGGTGCAGGCTTTTACATCGTGCCTTCCTCTCCCGAAACCCTGGTCCCTTTTTTGACCCTTAGGTCCCGCTCCAGGGAGCCCTGAGCAGAAAGGCTTGCGCCGATCGGGGGGGTGCGCCGATCACATGGGCTTCACGTATACGTAGATATTCCAAATCCCATGCCAGTCTGACTTCGACGATGTGGTCTTTTACAACATGCGAAGCCTAGGCCCAAGCCAGGGCCACCCCGAAGTCTCCAAACCACCTACTTCACCACCGCCGAACACCACGGTCTCGCCGCGCATCGCCGCATTCGCATTCTGGACCCGTGTTCGCGCCGAGCGTCCGACTGGCCGGAGTTGAGCTCCGTTCCAACCACCGAGATGCGCAGCTCCGTCGCATGAGGAGCGGTTCCTGGTGGCTGGGGCGGATCCCCCTCCCTGTCACGGATCCCGCGGCAGATCTGTCTGGCGGTGCCAGATCCGCAGATCTGGGTGAGCTGTCCAGCGTATATCAAACACCATCGACTGTGTTGCTTCTAGGTGGGGTTCTTCTGTGTTCTTATTAACATGTACTGCAGTATGCCTCTCGGGAGCCTCAAAGTGTCATCACCCTCTCGGTTCTGTGGATCCATAGGGTGTGACCTTATTGTGCAAGTCATCCACGTCTAAAAGGGAAGTCCAAGAATTGTTGCTAACACGGGAAGCTGGATGAAAGCAGTGCGACTTGAAAAATCCGTACAAAACATTGCAGTCAGTCTTTTTTTTCAGGAGTCTGCCACCACCAGCAGCGTCATTGGGGCATGTTTCAGGGAGAGTAATCCATGATATAGCCTTAACAATCCATGTATGGCATATTTACCTAGATTGACCCTAAGGCCCTAAGGAGGACATCTGAAATGCACCCCAATGTTGGCAAATAATCCATATGTGGATTGTCAGTTCTTAGGTATTTCCCAATGATTGCCCTTGCCAGTTCGGGTTTGTGTAGCACCCGAGCAGAGCTTTGTGTAGCCCAGTTCCCAGTTCCGACCGCACTTGGACCACCGCTTAGGTATAAACAACTCTCGAATGCTCAGCCCTCACGAACGCCCTGGAGACGTGAAAAACCATGTCTGGCAGGACCATTCTGTTCATGACTGGGGTGGGCAAGGTCGGTCGTCCCGGTGCTCAGGGGAAGCCGTCTAAAACCTCTGCTCCGCTGGTTCCATGGCTCGGACAGCGTTTTTCAGGTCCGACCGCGCCGGCTGCCGCGGTCCCGTCTCCTGTGAAGAGCTGCTGGGCTGGGTCGAAATGCAGCCAGCTGGGCAACGGGGAACCGTCCAGCATGGTGGCATGCAACGAGACGGGGCCGCCGCTGGGATGCGCGATGACGTTCTGCGCGAGCTGCAATTCAAAGGGAGACTCCACCTGAAGAGTGCTGCACAGTAGTGAAGTACGTCAGTTCTAAAACAGAAACAGCCCAACAGGTCACCCCAGGTTGCAGGCAGCCCTGCCATGAGGTTCGGGTGACCTGAGGTTCAGGTCGATGGGTCGGTGTAGGGATCACATGGTAATAGGGAAGCCGCCTTAATAGCATTCTAACCCAGACACGACCTAGCTGGGACTGCCGATCAGGACTGCCGAGTGGCACGGCCGAGAAACGGGGTGGTTGAAAAGGGGTCGTATGGAGCATATCGTGTCTGGGTAAGGGACCTTCCTTCAAACGTCTCCGCTCTTGATCTCTGAAACACCGGGATTTGAGGGTCCGGCCCCGTTCCTGAACGGAGGGTCCAGGGTCACGTCTGGGTGAGACGTTTTTGGGGGAACGCCTTCCATGAGCGCATGGTGTCTTGAGTAAGACTCAGCACCGAGCCAAACGCTGAGCACCACCGGGGCTCGGCCACTCGGCGTCACCGAAGAAAAAGACACCGACTCCAACCGACTCCAACCGACTCCACCCCGCCACTTCTCCCAGACACTCCTCATGGGACTAGCATATGCTCCATACGACCCCTTTTCAACCACCCCGTTTCTCGGCCGTGCCACTCGGCAATCCGTCGCAGTCCCAGCTAGGTCGTGTCTGTCGTAAGGCACCGGTTTTCCGTCACCGTTGGGGGCTCCACGGACGTCACCGTCGGCGTCGCCCGTGGGCTCCGAGGGGCCCAAAGAACGGACTGCCGCCCCAGAGAGACCTCCAGTCAACCACCCCAGACAGACCCTTGGTAAAGGTTACCAGTCCCATGGGTCGTGTCTGGGATTGTTTTAGGAAGGAGTTGTGACTACTTTTGGCCAGGTGCACCGAACTCAATGGTTGAATGGAAGACTGGTAGAAGGTGGTGAGGAAATGCGTCGCTGGTCAACCCGGAACCGCAGGAATCTCAGATACATGTTCCGCACCATGCGGGGATGTGTTTTGTCGCCGACGCGACGAGTGGTTAAAATGATGCTGAAAACCAACGACGTCAGACTGTCGCCGATGCAACTGCCGATTCAGAAGGGCTGGATGCACTGAGATGTATGAGCTGCATCTCAGCTTGATCACTGGCAAAAGATCCTGATAATCCCTATGGATCCACATACCGAACCATCCGAACCTCAGGTTAGATCATTGGAAACACTGGAAAATGCAGGCTGAAATCGAGTCCCATGACCTGAGGTGGATCTATGTGGATCGGAATTCATGAGGCCATGCCTGCACCCTCCGTTGCTCTCGGTGTTTCCGAAACCTGTGGTGTTTCCACCTGCGTTCCGGTGCTTTCGGGCCGAACTTGGGGACCCAGGAGGGTCCTGGTAGGAGTCTATTTCAAATTGATATCCCTAAGAATCCGGACCCGAAGCAACACATAGGGTTTGGTTCGGGCCCGGACCCCTGCTATGGAGGGTCCCACCCCTGCCATGGAGAGCCCAAGGATTTTTAGGGATACCAGCACCGACGACCCTGCCAGGTCACCGTTCTTGAAACCTGGGCACGGGCCCTGCCCAACCCTCCGTGAAACGGAGACCTGGCAGGAAGGTGCTGGGGTGCTGGTATATAATTACTGTATAATTTCAGACTTCAAAGTAGCTTGTCAAGCAATACCGAGGTGTCAAATCGGTCTGAGATGGTCTGTGTTTCTTTCAAGAGGTTGCGTTCGTCACAGATCAACAGGGCATTGGCATACCAAGGATTCCTACCACCATTGATTTAATGGCCGAGTCATCCCGAACAACCTTTGTTTTAGATCCAAAAAACAGCTCAACCCGAACGCTTTTATTGGAACATGCCGTGCAAATCAAAAGGGTCCAAATCTAAAATAAGTGCAGTGTAGGCGCCACGGGCACTGACCTGGTAATTCGAACTTCATCGCCCGCTTTATTTGGGTCCCCCGCCCGGACGTACCAGGAAACCGGCGTCGGGGTCGCCGGTTTAGGCCGAACAACCCGAGATCCACGGTCCAGCCTTTGCGTACTGGTCAGGAATCAGCTGGGTCAGAAGTGGTGCTGCCGAAGCTGTCTTGGACAGCGCTTGGATTTGCAAGGACTCTGAAAATGTTCCAAGTCCTCCACCAGCTCCAGCTCCTGGTCCACCGTCACCAGAAGCACCAATTCCAGTTCCTCCGCCAGCTCCACCTCCTTGTCCTCCACCACCAGCGGC